TCAGATATTAGAATGCGATGCCTGTTTTTTTCTTAGTATCATTTGCTTGGTATATTTTTTTCTATCCTTTCGCCTTAAGGTAGTGCCTGTCCTTGACAGTGAGATGGGTTTCTTGCAGACAACAAAAAGATGGGTTTTGTTTCTTAATCCATTCACCTAGTCTTTGTCTTTTGACTGGGGAGTTCATTAATGAAAGATGATGTATTAAATCCTGTCATTTTTATTTGTTTTCATTCTTGATATAGCTGTACTTTTCCACAGTTATACCTTCATTGAATTTCTTGCTGCAACCCCTTGGGTATAGTCAGTCATTCCTTTCCTCATTGTCTTGCTCCCAGAACCCTCTGTAGGGCTGGTTTTGTGGACAAGAATTCATTCAGCCTATTTATGTCATGGAAGATTTTTCTTTCCCCTTCAACTATAATAGACATTTTGGCTCGATATAGTAATCTGGGTTGGCATCTGTGGTCATTTAACACAGGGAATACTTTGGTCCAGGCTCTTCTGGCTTTCATAGTTTGCATTGAGAAGTCAGCTGTAATTCTAATGGGTTTTCCTTTATATGTGACTTGTTGTTTCTCTTTTGCAGCTTTCAGAATTTTCTCTTTGTTTTGTGCATGTAGTGTTTTTACTACGATGTGCCGTGGAGAGTTCCTGTTCTGGTCATGTCTGTTTGGTGTTCTGTATGCTTCTTGTATTTGCATGGGCATGTCTTTCTTTACGTTTGGGAAATTTTCTTCCACAATTCTGTTGAAGATCTGGTCCATGCCATTGTCTTGGGATTCTTCTCCTTCCTGTATGCCTGTGATTCATAAGTTTGGTCTTTTTATGGTGTCACACAATTCCTCCATATTCCATTCTTGTGATTTCTTAAACTTTTCATAATCTTTGCTTGAGTGATCTAGTTTGTCCACTTTATTTTCCATTCTTGATATTCTGTTTTCCATTTCATTCACCCCATTGGTGAAGCTTTTCCTGTCATTTCTAATTGGCTTACTGAGTGTTTCACTTCCTTCTTCATTTCAGCCTGGGTATTCTTCAATATTTCTAACTCTTTTCTGAATTTATTCAGAAGTTTATCCCTATCTTCCTTCAGCTCTTTGATTACCTTGTTTGTGTGTTCTTTAAATTCACTGAATTCTTTTATCATATTCATCATTGTTCTTTTGAGATCCATGTCCTGCATTGTCTCTAGAGGATTCTCATTGTGCTCCTCTAGAGGATTACTGGTATTTGGTAGGGATATGTTATTTTGGTTTTTCATGTTATTATTTTTTCTCTGTGATTTTGACATGTGAATTTCTTTTGTAAGGTCTGCTTCTTTTTGTGAACTTTATGTGTCTTTGTGGTTTTCTTTTGGGGCATGAAAGGTTGGTTCCTCTAAGATTCTAGTTCTCTCTTTTGATTTTATATTGGAGTGGCCAGATTGCTTTTGTCTTCAGGAGTTCCCACAGAGGCCCAAGTCAGATGAGGCTCAGATGCTCTCAGGCTTTCTCCTAAGGTCTGGATCCCTCCAGGAAAGATGTTGTCCTCAGGAATTTGGGGGTTGGACTGGCCTGGGCACAGGGCCCAGGAAAGATGCTGGTCTCCGGCAGCTGGTGGCTGTGCCACCCAGAGATGCAAAGGGAGATGGGGGTGTAAAGAAGCCCCAAGGGCTCCTGGGGACTGCGGGGAGGAACTGGGTTGGTCATAATGCAAAGGATCAGGAAGCTGAGAGGTCAGCCTGGGTTCTTGGAAAGAGGCTGGTGGGTTGTACAGCCCAGGGAAGCAGAGGAAGGTTAGGGCAGGACCAGGCCCAGAGGGCTCCTGGGGACCTGGAGAAGGAACTGGGTTGGTCTGGATGCAAAGGATCAGGAAGCAGTGGTGATTCCCCCAGTGTCTGGGGTGACAAGACAAGGAATGGGACAGTACCCAGGCTAGGAGGAGATACGGGCAGGGGAGATGGGAAGGTGAATGAGGCTGGGGGAGTCAAGGCCCTGAGGGGCAATGGACTTACCCAGGAGAGAGGCTGGTGGGTTGTGCAGGCCCAAGGAAGCAGAGAGAGGTGAGGGTGGAACCAGGCCCATAGGGCTCCTGGGGATGCAAGAAGGAACTGGGTTCATCTGGATGCAAGGGATCAGGAAGCAGTGGTGGTTCCTGGCTCCCCAGTGTCCAGGAAAGAGGCTGGGGAGTTGTGCAGCCTAGGGAAGCAGACGGAGGCGAGAGTGGGTCCAGGCCCAGAGGGCTCCTGGGGAACAACAGAAAGAACTGGGTTCCTCTGGATGCAAGGGATCAGGAAGCAGTGGTGGTTCCAGGTCCAAGAGGTCAGCCCTGGTGTCCAGGAAAGAGGCTGGTGGGTTGTGCAGCCCAGGGAAGCAGAGGGAGGTCTCTCACTTTCAATTTTTTATTGGCAGGAAAGAATGGTTCCAAGCTGATTAATGAAGCCTTCTCCAGCAGGGCACAGGGATCTAGGCCAAATTCAAGACTATGGGAATCAAGTAGCTGGGTTCTGGCAGGCTAGTCAGGAAGTCTCAGGCAGGGTGGTCAGGAGAGGGCCTAGGGCCAAGGTGGGGTGGGGACAGTGTGTTCTAACTAGCTAGGCGTAGTAGGTGTGGGCCCTGAAAAGGGAGAATGTAGCAGGTCAGGGTACAGGGTAATCAATCTACAGTCTGGGCTATGGAAGATCATGAACATCAAGGTAAACATGAAGAGTCATTCCAAAGTAAAGGGAATTAAAGAGATATGATAATAACTAAATGGAGTACCTAGTTCTGAACTGAGCATCCTTTTGTTGTAAGACACAGTTGAGATTCCTGACGTAAATTCTCCAAGTTCAACAGCGGTCACATACCCAATGTCAACGTTCTGAATTCTTTATTATGGAGGGTATTTTTTATTCGGTTTGCTGGTTTTCATTTTGTGTTGTGTTTTGCTTTATTTAGTTTTTTGTTTGGGGACAGGGTTTCTCTATATAATCCTTGAACTGAAGTTCTTTCTGCCTCAGTCTCCCAAGTACTAGGGTAACAGGTACGTATCTAACATCATGCTCAGCTCAGATTTCTGATTTTGACTATGAGACAGAATGTTCTTGTTTCTAAGAGCTCATTCCTAAGTGTACAGGGTGACAAGGGTATTAGAGACACAAGAGTTCTTCATCTTCAGGTTACATGGTGTATGACTTTGGATTATATCTCTGTTTCTGTTTCCTTGTCTATATTATAGGAGTCATGGTAGTGTCTAGCTCTTGGCAGTGCTGTGAGATTGAGCAAGATAGTGAAGGTAAAGAGCTCGGTGCTCACTACTGCTAGCTGTTAAGTACTTTTAAGTAGCCACCACAAGTGTAACAAGAAAATTACGGCTACTGATGTTTCTTTTCATCCTTTCTCTACTTTGGTCTTCCTTCCCTCTGCCTTCCCTCTGTTCTCTCCTCCCACTCTGGTCTCCTTTCTGTATTAGTTCTTGCCTCTCCAGCACAAAGCACTGCACTCCAAAGAGCATTAGGTGAGGACTCAGATGACTTGAATTATATCCCTGCACGACTATATCTTCATTGACAGAATTCATATGAACACTCGCTGTACCAAAGCTATATAAAAATCTCATTTTTACAGATTCCATAAAGGATTTTTTATTTTAATAAAAATATAAGCTAAAATACGGCCTTCTCTTCCTTTTCACTCTTTGTGAAATGTAATACACAAAACCTTCATAAAAGTTCTAATACACAAACCTAAAACGTCTTCAAGACTTAAATTTTAAGTATATGTCATTACACACTTATGTAAGACTGGCACTTTCAGGGTACATTAAAATGTTTACTTTCCTGGAAAATGTCCACTAAACTGTAACTACAACTTTATAAACAGTGATCTCTCTCTCTCTCTCTCTCTCTCTCTCTCTCTCTCTCTCTCTCTCTCTTCCCTCTCCCTCTCTCTGTGTGTGTGTGTGTGTGTGTGTGTGTTTCACAGTAACCATGGTTCTGATACTTTTTCCAATACCAGCTTTATTTTCAAAAGTTTATAAGTTAGAGGGCTGGTGACCTGACTCAGTAGGTAAAGGCACTTACCAAGCAAGCCTCATGACCTCAGTTTGCATTTGATCCTCAGAACCCATATAAAGTTGTCCTCTGACCTATGTGTGTGGCATGTCATGTGTGGGCACACACACACACACACACACACATTATGCACACACACTAATAAAAAATTAAAAGTAGTTCTTTGAAGGAAAAAAAGTTTGTAAGTTAAGGTTGAAGTAGGGTATATGTGTAAGTTAATGCATGTGTGTGTACAATGTGTGAATCTCTTTCCAAAAAAAAGAAATCCTGTAGCTTCAACTTTGAATAATACACTTAACTTAGATTCTGATGTGAATCCTTATAGAACTATTTAAAGAGAACTCTTAGAGTAATGTGAGAATCTCCTTTTAGGCAGATCATATTTAATTTCAAACAATTTAAAACTTCTATGTTTCCATAGTCCTTCCTACACTGTTCAAATAGACACCATTTCATGTGACCATCTCAATATTGGACATCAGGTGGAAAAATGAATTGATTTCAATTCAACTGAATTGTTTTTAAAAAATAGGTGTTTTACTTAATCTCTTAGAATGAATTTAGAGTACAAATCTAACTATAAGCAAAAAAAAACAAACAAATAAACAAACAAAAAAACACTATCTTATTTTACAGGAAATCCTAAGAGGAATTATTGTAAATTTAAAGCAAACTTTTTCCCAAAAAAAATGTCTGACTATAGGCAGCAAGTTCAAGACTTGGCATCATAATCCAAAATGCAACTAGCATAGGACTGTCAGTTCTCATCTCCTTCATATACAGATGGGAGATGACACCCTTGATTCTGAACATTGCTCCAGTACTTGCTGTGACGGGAATGATTGAAACCGCAGCAGTGGCTGGATTTGCCAACAAGGACAAGCAAGAATTCAAATGTGCTGGAAAGGTAAAATGCAGGCTCTTATTAGCATCGTAACATTTTAAGAGAAAAATCAGAGCTCCTGTCTTTATAACATGAGTTCCTCACTCAGGAATCTGAAAAATGTTGTGAATGAACTGAAATATATGTGGACCAGTGCAGGATGAGGTGTGGATATACAAAAGCAACATGGTCTGTGATTTGGAGCACAGATCTGGAGTCAAACTGGCAGAGCTAGATTCAGTTTTCTATTAGCCACAATGCATGACGTAAGTTACATCAACATGTGACACTTTAGTTTTCTCTTCTGTAAAGTGAGAATAGTAACAGCATCCATTTATATATCTATGTATTACACAAAACAGCATTATCACATACCAAACAGTGCCTGGAAGGCAGTACGTGCATTATAGTGTCAGCCATTATTGCTGCTGGTTATCACGGGGGGAGTGTTCTAATGTCATGATTCCCCATTTTCTGTTTATCGAATAATTAAATTTTCTTGGGCAGTTCTTCTGGGTATTTATTTTTCAAAACATAACAGTTCCTGAATACAAGACAATGTGCTGATATTGATAGTGCCTAAATAAGGCTTTTTGTTAATCAAAATAAACAATTCATGCCATCATTTGGGAAATCTTTGGGCACATTTATGCTTCTTGGGATCAACCATCTTCATAAAAGTGACCATGGTTTTTGAGGTTGAGGAAAACATTATTGTAGAATCACACCACCTCTGATGAAAGAGATGTCATTTGCCAGGTGTGGTGGTGCACACCTTTAGTCCCAACACTCAGGAGGCAGAGGCAGGCAGATCTCTATGAATTCAAGGCCAGCCCGGTCTACATGGTGAGTTCCAGGCCAGCTGGGACTACAGAAAAATCCTGTCTCAAAAAAAAAAAAAAAAAAAAAAAAAAAAAGAAAAGAAAAGAAAAAAAGAAAGAAATGTCATTTGCAATAATAGGCAACACAAATGGCAGAATGTATGAATTCCATTTGGGGAGGGGGGCTATGGGAGAGTGCCAGTGGAGAAGGGGATATAAAGATGATTAAGATTGACTGAGATGCTCTGTATGAAATACACAAAAATTCAATAAAACATTTACAGAAAAGAGAGAGAGAGAGAGAGAGAGAGAGAGAGAGAGAGAGATGTCATTTGACCCCAAGTAGACATCATCTGTGCATCACTGTCAAGGGTTCATCCGTCTTGACCTACCTTTTCCTCTTGTGGCTGGCAATACATTACTATATCACTGCCAACTCTTGGACTGGACCTTTAATGTTTTATTTGGGGGGTTGGGGTATTCTGGTTTTGTTATGTTTGGTAACACGGCATCCTGCACTTCTGTTTCTCATGATGGCCTTCCAGAAGTTGCAGCATGCAAACACTGGGTCTTTTCTGAGACGCATATCCAAGACTTAAGCTGTTCCTTTCGTCATATGGCTTCAAAGCTTTGTCATATTAATGGACATCCTCTGAACATGAAAATGACTTTAATAGCATCTACAGTCTATATCACAGTGACTAGATTATACCCATAATCCATAGCACAGTACAAATATTGTAAATGTTCTTGAGTCTGGACACCAAGCATGTTACTTATTGATCTGATTTGCTTTGATGCTTGGACCTGTCCACCTTTCTTGCACTAGATAAGAACCCTTGGAATGTCTGCTTGTGCTAGATAAACTGAACTACTTAGCAAATATTTGCCTCACAGACAGTGAACAGTTATTTAGTCTTCCCTATGTGATTTTAAAATGATGATCATTTGTACAATTTTTAATTATTGAGACATTAATTAAATTTTGTCCATCTTGGGTTTTGGGTCACGAACTTTAGTTATAAATGAGCCCTTTGATTTTTTTGCTTTTGTGTCATGAGATTGACCTGAGTCTATACAATCAGTAATTCCCACTAAATGGGCAATCTGAGTCTTTCCCTATAGCTTTTAGTAAGTCAGCTTACCAGAGACCAACTTAAATTATAACCAGGCCAGTGGGATGGTCTCAGAAAATAAAGACACTTGCTGCCAAGGATGATGACCTGGGTTTGATTGCTAGAACCCACATGATGAAAGGAGAACGAAGACTACCCAAAATTGTCCTCTTTTCACATGCATGCCACGGTACTCACACCCCTCCCACACAACACACATAGACATACACACAAACAATAAATAAATAAATATAAAATTTTAATTAAAGAATAAAATATGCAAGACTTAAGATTCTTATCCATTTTTCTTATAAGTTATATATGTGAAAAATGAAAGACTCTTTGAGTTCATTTTGAAATTCAGGAGAATTTAAAACTGACCATCAAAATTGAGAGCAGAATCCAGATATTCTCACTACCGTCTAATTCTCTCTTGCAACCCAAGTTGTCTTTGTGTTAATGTTGGGTGTCTTCCTGGGTTCCCTGTATGACAGTATCAGTCTGAAGCAAAACTTTATAATGAAAAGTTTATCTTTCAAGCCAACCTGCAGTCTCAGATTCTGAAGTTATTCTAAGCCAAAAGCTCCCTCCATTTCTGATCTCATGTAATTATATTCCCTTTGAATACTGTATAAACATAGAGAAACATTAGTCATTTTTAAGTTAACAGACATCAAAATGAGGAATGGCTTTCTTTGTCTTATAAAGAATTTTATAGCCACATTGTAGTATGCCTTGTTGGAATAATCCTGAGTCCTGTTTGGCTGCAATTGCATTTCTGTGATAGAATAATTATTTATTTGATTCTGTCTGCTATCTTTTATATGAATTGTTTCATAATTTATAAGAAGCTTATTTGCATGTGAACATAATGCTCGCTAATGTTTGTTTTCTATGCCGTGGAACCAATTTAAATTGGAATTCAATAAAGACTTAAGGGAGCTAAACTTGATGCATTAAATCTTTTCCACAAGAAGTTTCCATCGAGTAATTTTCATCTTATTTTGGGGGCAAAAAGGAAAGTAAGAATACTTGTCACGATAAATTACTGATTTGGTATATTTACTATATTCCTAGTGTGACTGGAATTCACTACTCAGATGTTTAAAGATGACTAATTTTATTTCTCTATTTTAATGTCCCACTTTACAAGATAGCAACAGAAACTGTGGGAAATATGCGGACCATAGTATCATTAACAAGAGAGAAAGTATCTGAGCAAATGTATGAAGAGACACTTGAGACCCAGCACAGGTGACTATAACCCAAGGCGACTCTGCAGGCACTTCCATCCAATCATTTACCTGCCAGTCTGTTTTCCCCTTTGTCTTTCCTAAGACTGGCATAACCTAACTCCTCCAATGACTTCTCCAAGGGAAATGAAGAACAATCAAAGTGAAGCATAACTAGAAAAGCATTATAGGTCTCCACATTACCACTAGTGCCTCTTAGTAAGGGCACAGTTTTGTCTTTTTGCTGAAAGTTGATTGAACACGTTGAAGAAAAAAAATTAGTTGGTTCATCCCTTTACATTAAAACTCTAAGATATCTTACATTTAAAACAAACATATGCAAAATGAATATGCTCCTGCACCCAGCCCTCTGTATCACACTGACTTGGTGCTTCTTTGTGTTGTGTTATCAGAGAGATAGTTTTGTTTTCATTTTCATTGATGTTTGTGGTTGGCACCACCCCTTAATGGTCTGTCTATTCTATTAATGTAAGACGACAGAAACTGGAGAATATTTCTAAGTGCTAGTTAAACATACCATACTTCCTTAACTCAGACATTAACTATTCTTTCATGACACCTTGTCCATTCATTCGAAAGCAAAGGCAAGTCTGTCATACTGAGCTGTTTGCAGCTGTACAGAAAACCACCATATCATCCGACTTCTCTATAATAATAACTTTCTCTTTAATCCTTAGAAAAATGCATATCCACACAATTATGACATTTCAAAATCCTCTATATTCATCACTCCAAATTTATCAAATTGACCTTGCATCACTCGTGCCCTATCATTTGGTAATCGTGCATTTCAGAAATGCCTTGAAGAAAGCACAGATCACCGGAAGCTGTGGCATTCAGCCATGCTTCTGTGTATTTCGCCCATGCAGCAGGGTTTCAATTTGGAGCCTATTTGATTCAGGCTGGACAGATGACACCAGAAGGCATGTTCATGTAAGTTGTGCAAATACATAAACCCTGTAAGTGGGTTATGTAGATGTGTCTAGTTTACAGAGGATTACCATCTAGACCACATGTTGGAGAAGGCATTCTTGAAACATTTAAATACATCTATAATGCATATGTTGATTTTAATTGACAATATTTGCATCTATTATACTTATGGGGTAAAATGTGATGTTTTGAAATACGTTCACATTGTGATGAAATAACTAAATCGGGGCAGTTTGTTGGTATTTAGGAGCTATAGAAGCAGAGCTAGCTAAATCTGTACTTTAGACTGTGTGTATACTGATTCTGTGCAAATGGTCTGAGCTAAACCCCCCTGTGAACTGCTCACAGCTTCAGACTACACAATATAGGGACGTAAAAACATTTATGGTTTCTTGGTATCCACTTCCTGGGGAATGTGGCGAAAAGTACAAGTGCAAGTGGGTGTTTGTATAAATACACACGCATATAAGCGCTTCCTTTCACATGAGTAACCTTAAGAATTGATCATTGTTACCAGTGGAGCAGCTTCTCCTAAAGCATTGTTTGGACCTTGTGTTCTCAGACTGATGATGACTCAGTTTACTTAATAAGGATGCCTACATGCAACTACTGCAGTTGGAAAAACTTTGAGTGTTATTTCTCAGATGCCTAATCCTAAAATGTCAGGAATGTTGCTACTTTATACCACAGATGTCATTACTAGACATAGAGCTACAGAAAATCCATACATTTCACTCAAAAAATTGGGGTACTTTTTAAAAATATATTTTACTATTTTTATTTTATATGTATAAGTGTATTGTCTCCATGTATGTAAGTGCACCCATGTAGTGCAATGCCCAATGAGGTCAGAAGAAGGCATTGATGCCCTGGATCTGGAGTTACGGATGGTTGTTAGCTGCCAAGTGGGTGCTGGGAATCAAACCCGGGTCCGCTGCAACAGCCACCAGTGCTCTTAACTGATGAACCATCTCTCTAGCCCCTGTAAAGAAAAGTAGCTTTAAAAATAAGTCTACTAGAGCTGATTACTGCTGGGTGAGGAAGAACTGATCTTCTTAAAGGGAGGGACTCTAAACAGGCTGACTAGACCTCAGTGGATGAACTAGCCCTGAGGGACATCTTGGCACACTAACTTTACCACAAATGACAGAATGTATGAACTCCAGTGTGTGTGTTGGGGGAGGGGGTTGGAGGGGGCAATGGGGAAGGGTGTATAAAGATGATTAGGATGTTCTGTATGAAATATATGAAAATTCAATAAAAGGGACATGAGAGATGACTCAGCAGTTAAGAGCACAGACTGCTTTTGCAGAAGATCCAAGTTCAGTTCTCAGCACCCACGTGGAGGCTAACAACCATCTGTAACTACTCCAGTACCAGGAGAATCCAATGCCCTCTTCTGACCTCCATGGGCATTGCACAATATAGGTGCATTTACATACATGCAGGCAATACACTCATACATATAAAATAAAAATAATGAATATTTTTTAATTCAATAAAATTTTTTAAAAAATAAGCCCACTAAAGTGCGCACATTAATATAAGGATTCTGATAATGACTTTTTCCTAAAGACACTGCTGTTCAGGAAGCACTGGGACTCCTACTTGAGTGTTGCCTCCCATTTCTCTTTATATTCCTTGGAATACCCTCTTTGGTAGCACATATTTGTAGTTTGAGGAAGTGTTCAACTTAAAAAATAACCAAAAATCAGTTGATGTTATATAATTTCAAGGTAATTGGGAATGATTTTAAGTTTCTATTCACACAAATGTGTTTTTATTTATTACACATTAGTTGAAGTCTTAAGAAATTTCTTTATCAAAACTGATAAGAAACAATGGACAGGTCACCAACCCAATATTCCTAAATCTTATCTAAATTAAAGTAAAATTTAGCACGTTAGAGGAAACAACTCTTAGCACTTTTCTAAAGACGGATCTCCTTGTAAAATGAACTGTCTATATCTAAAATCCAACAGGAAGGTTCAGGGTCCCGATCGTCTTTCTTTCCCTCAGCTCTGAAATAGTCCACGATATTGTCTTTGTAATAACTCTAAAAACACAACTAAGGTGTGTAGCCTTGGGCTTCACTCTAATTATACAGACCAATTAGATGAACAAAATCCAAAATCACACGAATTAACTTACTCTGTCCATAGGCTTTTTAAGTCATTCCTTTTTCCCTTGCTTCTGACAGCATGTGGCCACTCCCAAATTTAAAAGTCCATTGTATTCCAAAAGTTTGATTGGCAGCAAGAACTTGAACCAGAGCATGCTGTCCTCCCCACCCGCCCTGCAAATCCCCAGGGCATTGTTCTGTCAGTATTCCTGGTCTTAGGCATTAGGAGAGGGCAAGCCAGTTAAACAGTCAGTAATGTAGGATGCTTGGTCATCTGAACACTCACAGAAGACATTTCATCTCTTTTCATCAGTTTCTCTGTTACTACTCTTACTTCACTTTTTAATCACATAATAAAAAGAAAGAAATGTTCCCCAAAGTATGTCTTTTCCAGCCTTTATCAGTGTGTCTCATCTCTCCAGACCATCCCCAAGCCAAGCTTTTTTTCTGTCCATGCCACTAAAAAGACTCACTATCAAGGTCATCACTGGCTCCATGTCACTCACCCACACTCAGCCATCCCGCCAGCAGTTTTCCTACGTCCTCCAACTTGACAGTTCCCTCCTGAAGTTTTCTTCCAGGTTTTTCCAGGCTCTTCTTCATCATTGGCCCAGTTTCTCTACTCCCTCTTCAGGCTCCTGGTTGTCTGCTGGGTTTCTATGTGGAAGGGCTTTGGTGCTCTCAGAGCTTCCATCTGTATACTCTCAAGGGTAAGCTCAGCTTGCTTAGTTTTAGCTGTCAGAACATATGCAGGACAATTAACATAAGAGTAGTCATTAATGGAGCCGGTAGTAATTGGTAGAGTGAGTGCTTGCAGAGCATGCACAAAGTCCTGGGTTCAATCCCTAACACCACAGCAGAAAACTAAGCATGATGGGGCATGTCTGTAACCGCAGCACCCAGGTGGTTTCAGCAAGAAGATCAGAAGTTCAAGATAATCCTTGGCTACATAGTGAGTTTGAGGCCAGCTTGGGCTACATGAGATCCTGTCACAAAGGAAAAAAAAAAGGAGTAGTGACTCCTGAATTCATGCTGCTATTTCCTAGAGCCAGGAAGGAAGCAACAGAGATGTCTGACTACGGCAGAGCAGAGTAGAATACTGTTATGGCAGAGACTGTGCATAATGTGGGTTGATGAGAACTGTCTTCAGTATCTTCTTAGAGGCCACTGCACCCTGTGCTGCCATGAATGAGTCTCAAGTGTCCCTTAAGACACCTGGCCTGTGAGACTTTCTAGAATCTAGGTTGACAGAGAGCTTCTTTCTAATCAACTAACTGAGTAGAAGAGGTTCACAAAGGAAACCACCTCTTTCTAAAATCCTCCTAGGATTTTAAACTAATCCTTTTGAAGTGAAAAGCACTTTGTGCAGGTCTCTTAGGCAATGGCTTCCCAACTCACCAATCGCAAGCTGGTTAAAAAGGCGGTTGGTTAGAGCTCACCCTGCATTCTGATGATGTCCAGATCTGATACAGGGCCAGAAATCTGGATTTTAATCAAACATGCCAGGTTATTCCAAGTCATAGGATCTGAGAATCACATTTCAAGAAACATGAACACAGGGACTAAATCCCAGCCTGCTCTCCATCCCAGAACAAATTCCTTGGGAATTTATTTTGGTCACCATCAGAAATCTTCTAGAATTATGTAGAAGTTACAGAAGTTATATTTTAGTATATTGTTTAAAAACAATGATGTGGGGCCTGTGAGATTGCTTAGTGGGTAAAAGTGCTTGCTGTACAAACTTGATGACCTGAGTTCAATTCCTGGAACCTACCTATGTACAGGAAGGAGAGAAACAAATCCATAAAATAGTTCTCTGACCTCAATGTATGTGCTATAGCCTGCATGTGTGCACGTGTGCACACACACATCATACACACAATAATCGTCATCATAATTATAAAAGTAATGACAAAAATAATGGTGTATTTTGCCCAATAATGCTAATGCATTTTCAAGATTCACAGCTACAGGTACGAATAAGCTGACCCTCTTTCAGAAGGGACAGTGTGCTTAGAAATGGAGATGCACAGAAGGAGACACAGCAGCACAATCTCTCCATGTTCATGGGAGTTGATGAGCAATGCTGCTGAGGGGAAGTCTCTTTCAAAAGGGCAACAAGAATGACTTATGCAAAAGGTCATCTAGTGTTATCTCCCTGGTTGTAGAACTTTCTCTGAAATGAGCATTTAAATAAGGTGATAACATTTTTTTCTGTTGACTTTTAGCCAGACATTGGGGCTTGTTAGAAAGCTTCTCGTGTGAGCCCTCACAGGCAGATGGGTAATAAAAGGTCCCCTTTCCCTTTGTTAGCTAGGTGATGCTCAGTTTATTAGTCTACTGTGAGTGTACAGAATTTTAGAAATGCAAAATAAAGGGGGCTTGGAGAGGTGGCTCAGTGGTTAGGGACATTGGCTGCTCTTTCAGAGGACCTAGGATCAGTTCCCAGGGCCCACATGGCACCTAGCCCCAGTCCTTTAACTCCAGTTCTAGAAGATCCAATGCCCTCTTCTGGCCTCTGTGGGCATTGCACATACATGGCACACTTACATACATGTAGGCAAAACATTCATGCACATAAAATACAAATAATCAAATTTTGGAAAAGAAATGCAAAATAAGTTTATTTTCTCCTCTCTCATCTTGCAATACTAAGCCAGGTACCTTATTAAAAGAATGCAAGCCTAGTACTTGGAGGTGAGGCAGTAGGATGGAAAGTTGGAAGCCAGCATGGGCTACAAAGTGAGTTCTAGGTCAGCCTAGAGCTTTATAACAAGACCTTATCCAAAAACAAAACAACCGATCTGGCATTAGTGCAACTAAGCAAGGCTCTAACAGATGTGCCTTCACATTCAGCCCAGAAACCACTAATGGCCAGCAGAGGTGTCTTTACCTCTTTATATCCACTTTAAGCTTTCTGTGATTCACAGACCTCTCTCTGTGATTCACTTTCCTTATTTGTGGTGCACAATGACCAGAAACTAAGCACAGCATCCATACAGAAGCAAATCAAATCATGACAGTACTTTACAGCAATAATACAGGCCACAGCTTGAAAACTTCCTAGGCTATCTGCTGTGTGGGGAGTACGTGTGTGTGTGTCTGTCTCTATCTGTCTGTGTCTGTGTCTATGTGTTTCTGTTTCTATGTGTGTATTCCTCGAAAAATCTAAATGCAATTCTCTACAAGAATTCATACACGCCTTTCAATATTAAATGTATCTATCAGAACAATAGCAGCATAGATCTGTTTTCAATGAACACTGACGGTTGACTTATACCTTGAAACACTAAGTAGAGGTTCACTAGGCCACCACTGCCATCTTTGAATGCTGGAACTGGAACTGATCCTTGTAATTAGTAAAGCCAACCTTAGCAAACAAGAAAGGTGACTTTGTTGGGCCCCACAAGACAGCCACCCACTCCTTCCTGACTCCTCCCCAGGGTTTTCTAGAAGAAAGGCACATAAGCTGACTAGATCAACAGACAAGGGATTTAAAACAGAATGGATGTCTAGGGCAGTGAAGACCCCAGGAGAGGGACAAGTGCTAATGGACTGCAGCATGAGGGCAGACAGCATGCTTTCCACTGGAAGGAGCACCGTTTGACAGGAAACAGCCAGAAATCTTCCTCATATCCCAGTCTGTGTGATCCTGGGCCAACTGCATAATTTTCCTGAGTTGGAGTTTCCTAATTTGTGAACTGGGAAGTTCCTACCCTAATTATCTCCTAGGTGGTCAGATTTTATCATGTGTGTATGAAAACATTTCATAAGATCTGACATACCAGGTAAACCTCAGTGGTTTACTGTCTTCCTCCTGAATGTCATGGAAAGGATGCGGAGTGGGAAAGAGAGAACCTCTGGGTTACACCTGAATGAAGTGGGGAGAAGATAAGCCTGGGAACCATCAGATGAGCCTTCCAGGAAGAAAGATATTCTGCTGTCCAACTAAAGGGAAACTTACGAAGTAGGGTCTTTGAACACTATGATTAGACCCGCTTTGAGAATGTATTTCTTTGGATGGGTGAAAGCTTATTTTCCAACAGAGAATGTCCTGTTAACTCTGGTTCTATGAAAGGAATAACACACAAACTTCCATTTGATGAGCACTTCTTTATATGTTCCAGGTACTGTAATAAGAACTGTGTATTATTTATGTGTTTAATTTTCACAACAACACTGCAACCATGTAGTTACTCTTATCTCCTGCTGACAGTAAGGAGTCAGATGCTCAAAGAAAGCCAGTAAAACACCCAAGGCCATATAGCAGGTAAATAAACAGAAGTTTAGATATGATCCTATAACCTGGCTCCACCACAAAGCTTCCTCTAGGATAGACCATTCGAGGTCTACAAAGTGAGTCTGGGAGTAGGTTTCAGAGGAGACTCATTCATTGGGACCAGTGACTGTGCCTGTTGGAATCAGCTGTGTTAAAACTAGAATTACATTAATGCTTTGGGGGGTTGTTTCTATTCTTTTAAAATTTTATCTTAACAGTAGGAATAGATGACAGAATTTCTTCAGTGCTCAGATGAGCTTGAATGGATCAGAGTGGTGAGAGGGTGGTCACACTGTCTACCCTAGAGTAGCTGTGTAGCAGGAGAGAAGACAGACACACCCCTCAGAGTGACAGCTTCTCCTTCTAAACTTCTTGCTTGCCCCTCTCACTCACCACAGCCAACCCAAGGTATTATTATAGATTCAGTGCCATAAGCTGTACTGAGATCTCTCGCTCCACTGACAGCACGAGCCTGTGAAAGCTGTGGAGATGAAGGGTGCATGAAAATGCCAGAAGGAAGCCCATTACTTTGTGTGCCAACTCCAAAAAGAATTTTTCAAAAATATAGCTGGCAAGGGATGAAGCTCAGTTGGTAGAGTGCTTGCCTGGTAACAGTGAGTTCAGCACGAGGCCAGCCTGGGCTACATGAAACCCTGAGTTCAAGACCAGCCTGGTCTGGATAGTGATTATGGGGACAGCCTAGGTGACGTAGCAAGACCTTGTCTAAAGAAACAACAAACGGCCAGAGAGATGGTCCAGCAGTTAGGAACAAAGGCTGCTCTTGCAGAGGACCCGGGCTCAGTTCCCAGTACTCACATTGCAGCTAACAACCATCTGTAACTCCAGATCCAGAAAATCCAGATCCAACACCCTTTTCTGACTTCCATGAACATTGCACGCATGGGTGCATTTACATACATGCAGGCAAAAAATCTCATACACATAAAAAAAATTTTAAAAACTCCCAACAGAAGAAGTAACTTAGCTTTATTGTATTATTGTATAATACTTCTTATTATGGCTAGATACCAGGGTTTTTAAATGGCATTTTAAGCCATAAGCAATTTCTTTAAACAGCAATAAAAAATGTGTTAATATCACAGAACTGTTAATGATTTTAGCAACAGACATCCCTGCAAACTAGTGTTTTGGTTTTTGGTTGTTTTTTTTTTTTAATTTTCAACTGTGTTTGTAAGACCAGTAAGATTCAGGATCAGGATCTGAGGTATCAGTCACTGAACTGAGGACAGCATCCAACTTCTGAGAGGTTCCACTGAGGGATGAAGTTCACAAGGAGTCAGGCATGTTTGTGAACCAGCAAAGTAAACTAACAGCTGGATTCTGAGATGGCCTTTTACTGCCTAATGTCTGAATATTGCTAGGAAAACATTTCCAGTTGCAGTTGAATTATACTTTTAGTTGTTCCTGGGATATAGTTTATTTTTGGGGTATTTTTTTTATCCCATTGCAATATTCTCATATCTAAAATGAAACAGCAAAGAGTAGAAATCTATTTAGCCACATGCTCCGACACCATTCTGTGAGTGCCATGGCCATGAATGCTTTCAAATGACATTTGCCTGCTTGCTGTATTATAAGGAGCATGTGTCGAAACTGTGACCATTATCAAACTACAGGATCACAGCTCTTCCTCTCGGTTTCACTGAAGTGTATTTTAGTCACTGTAGGAACCTTAGGAGAGTGTAGTGCCTGTGCTATGTCCTCTAAGTAGTACTGTGTATAAGGCCGATAATCTAAGTCAGCTTCTGTTATCTGCCTCAACTACATTATATGCAAACAAAGAAGAAAAACTGCACAGCAGCTCTACTGTGTTGACTGGGCCTCACTGCTGGAAACTCATTCTTTCTCTTGTCAGGGCATACTTTGCCAAATCTCTGAACAAGCAAGTCTTGTATCAAAGTGTCTACAAAGTTTTATGTTCACTGGTTGGAATCTTTGACCTGTGTCACTAATCAAAAGAGAAATTTTTAAGATTACCCAAGCTCAAAGGTTATTTTGGCATAAGGAGCACATGGGGGAAAACTAGGAAAGAGAAAGGCATTTTGAGACTTCAGCATTAGTGTGCAGTCTGGGCCAAAAGATCCTACTCTCATGTTTGCTTTTCCTTTGTCTAGAGTCCCACGGTTTGACGATGGACCTAATAGTCCAGTGTTTTCTCTTTTGGCAGGGTTTTTACTGCGATTGGGTATGGAGCCATAGACATTGGAGAAACACTGGTTTGGGCACCTGAATTCTCCAAAGCCAAATCTGGAGCCACACATCTGTTTGCTTTGCTGGAAAAGATACCAACTATAGACAGCTGCAGTCAAAAAGGGAAAAGTCCAGTAAGCATAACTAACAATAGTCCAGTGTTTTCTCTTTTGGCAGGGTTTTTACTGCGATTGGGGATGGAGCCATAGACATTGGAGAAACACTGGTTTGGGTACCTGAATTCTCCAAAGCCAAATCTGGAGCCACACATCTGTTTGCTTTGCTGGAAAAGATACCAACTATAGACAGCTGCAGTCAAAAAGGGAAAAGTCCAGTAAGCATAACTAAAATTTTAAGTGTCCACTTACTCAGTAAAAGCATTGCTAACTTCCTAAAATCCTCCAATAACATAAGGCATTAGAAGTTTGTATAAAAGAATTTTATCACTACAAAGGAGGAATCCTGGTCAAATTTTTGCCTCTACTGACAAAATATATTTTATATTTAAAAATCTGCTTTTAGTTCATGTGCCTGATGTCATAAGAATGTTCAACAAAAGACTGATTACTACACTGAAATATATTTTGACAGCAGCAGTGTTAGATTTGAATGAATATTGGCTACATTGCATTCATTTTTTTCCTCTGATAACATATGCAAAGTGAATAATGCCTCCTGCTTCATACACAGTTTCTCATGGAAAATATATTTGAAGGCTTAAGAGGAAAAAAGGGAACTAATGTTATTTGTTAAGTCATATGCATGTGTTCGCCACATACTTTAAGAGTCTATGAATATGGAAAGAGAAGCGATGTAGCACTAAATAATTTTAAGACAACCTCACAATAATAGTCCTTTACATGAAGTATATATTCAATGTTTAACCTTTCTAAGCATTTTATACTTAAAAATAAGAATCACTATTAGGTACACACCTAAAGCTTTCATTTAAAACTAGGCTATTTCTCTCTAGAATTTTAACAGTAGATGTACATATATGACAGTTTAAAACAATGCAGTATCAGTGGAACTATATAACTACTAAAAGGAATGTATGCATAGTTAGTGACAGAAATAAAAATATCTTCAAAGTCTCAAAATAGAATTCTCTAAGATACATCACAGTCAAAATAAAATCTATTCGTCTTTTGAAAAGCCAAGAATGTAAGAATCTTCTTTAAGACCTTAGGCTTTAAACGTGTCCAATACTGCTTCTATATCTTTCTGAAATTTCAGTGGAGGAGCTGAGTATGTCACAGCTATGCATTCTTTTAGAACTATGTACAAACGGAGGCTGGAGAGGAGGAGGAAAGGAGGGAAGGAAGAAAAGAGGGAGGGAAGGAAAGAAGGAGGGAGGGAAGGAGGGAAGGAAGGAGTAAATGAACTACATGCATGTTATAGAACACAGAAATACTTCATATGAAAACTATAAAATTATTACGTTACATTTTCTCTATTTTTGTATATGACTGGAATTTTCCATAATTCAATTTAAAATATTGAGAATAAGTTTTAAGGGGCTGGAGAGATGGCTCAGTGGTTAAGAACACTGACTGTTCTTGCAGAAGACCCAGGTTTGAATCCCAGCACCCACATGGCAGCTAACAACTGCCTGTAACTCCAGTTCCAGGGGATCCAACAGCCTCTTCTGTCCTCCACCAGCATTGCACGGGTGCACTTATCTACAAGCAGGCAATACATGCCTACACATAAAATAAAAATATAAATAAATAAATAAATTTTAAAATGTGTTTAAATATAAGGGTTTCCTAGAACATCCCTCTACACCCTTCCCAAAGGCACCAGAACATACACAGAAATAATTGCACCTCTGCTTTTCTGAAGTACTTTGACTACTTCTGTACTATCCTTGCATAGGAGTGCATCACCTCAGATACTTTCTTCTGCTGCTAGAACCCTTGATCACATTAAACATTTCATTCCTTTGACAACAGAATAATATCACGCAGGATTTTTATGTATTTGTCTTCTTATTTTTAGGATTTTATTTACTTTTATTTTTTATGTATATGAGTGTTGTGTATGATGCATGCAATGCCTACAAAGGCCAGAAGAGGGCATCAGATCTCCTGGAACTGGAGGTAAGGACAGCTTGGTATTAGCTGCCTTGTGGGTGCTGAGAACTGAACCAGGTCCTCTATAAAAGCAGCAAGTAGCAAGTGCCCTGAACTGCTAAGCCATCTCTCCAGCTCCAGTTTGCTTTTGTACTGCAGGCTGACCTCAAACTCAGTTTCAGGAGCCAAGGATGACCTTCCCACCTCTACCTCCCAAATGCCAGGATTACAGATGTGCACCACTATACCGAGTTTATGTAGTACTAGGGATCCAACCCAGGGCTTCATGCATGCCAGGCAAACACTCTGCCTACTAAGCTAGATCCTCCATTTTTTGTTTGTTTGTTTCTGGAGACAAAGTCTCATGTGATCCATCTGGCCTCGAACTTTCTCCAAACTTGTTATGAGTAGAGGTTTACCTTGAACTTCTGATTCTTCTGTCTCTACCTACCAAGAGCTGAGGTTACATAAGTGCCCCCACCATATCTGCTTTTATTATGAAGTGCTGGGGAACTAATCCGGGACTTAGTACAAGCAAGGCAAGCACTCTACCAACTGAACTACACCCCTCGTCCCCATTAAACATGTTTTGTACTTTTTCTGCTAAATTTATAGTACTACACATGACCATTAAATCCGACTGTAAGGAATTTATCTGAAAGACCAATGATCACTCCCACCAATAACACTGCTGTGTGACAGCAGTGACTGCTCCTACCAACACACTCTCCACCTATACCTTCCTAATTTATGTCTACCCTGATGACAAAAGTTAACAATACTTAAGCTGCAATCAGGATTCCATCCCAAGGCTGTAATGCATGAAGCCCTGGTTGACTCCAGCAACAGAGGGACCAAGGGAGGGAGGGAGGGGAGAGGGAGAGAGAAGAAACTGGGGACAAACATGAAGTTTAAAAAGTACCCCAAGTCTTATGAGCCAAAAATGAAAGCAACAATATCACTGTTTGATGATAGTTCTGGAAAGTCTTTTTAAAATATCCTTTGTACAAAAAATGTGCTGGTTTACATAAAAGTCATCAATGACTGAAAAGGAAAAAAAATGCATGAGAAAACTAAACTTTTGGGCAAATTATCACTGTCAATGATTATTTGAAAATGAAGATAAATCAGAGTTCAAAATTCAATGTACATTAATTGTAAAACATGGTCCAGTTTTCAAAGTAAAACTTGTGCACAGAGTTTATGAGGATCCAGGATTTTCTGAGTTAACCAGCAAAGGTATTTAAAGGATAAACTAAATTTAAGAAAATAAAAAGGGAGCCAGGCATGGTGGAACATGCCGTTAATCCCATCACTGGGAGAAGAGGCAGGGAGGCAGGTGTATATGAGATAGAGGCCAGCTTAGTCTACCCAGGGAGTTCCAAGGCAGCTAGGGCTACAGGGAGATTCTGTCTAAATTTTAATAGTGGAAGGAAGGACGGAGGGAGGGATGGAAGGAGGGAAGGATGGAGGGAGGGAGATATAGAGGGAGGGAGGGAGACAAGAGGGAAAAAAAAAAGAAAAGGTATTTTTTAAATAGTAATTACGTCTTCTTTTTTTTATTTTTATTTTTTTATCTTATGTGATGAGTGTATTGCCTGCATGTATGTGAGTGCACCCATGTTGTACAATGCCGTAGAGGTCAGAAGAGGGCTTTGGAGTCCCCCAGAACTGGATGGAATTAAGGATGGTTCGTAGCCACCATGTGGGTGCTGGGAATCGAACCCCAGTCCTCTGCGAGAGCAGTCAGTGCTCTTAACTGCTGAACTATCTCTCCAGCCCCGAGAAAGATATTTGTTTTTAGGGCAGCTGGTCAAACAGCAGGTCTGAAGAACAGGCTATGTCTGCACACTCAAACTGAAGGTATCTGCTGCATCACAGGAACACAAAACCCAGAGGTGAAGGTAACAAGAAACATACATATAAAAACACAAACACAGGGGCTAGAGAGATGGCTCAGTAGTTGAGAGCAGTGATTGCTCCTACAGAGGACCTGGGTTCAATTCCCAGCACTTGCATGGCAGCTGACAACCATCTGTAACTCCAGTTCCAGGGGATCTGACTCCCTCTTCTGGCCCCTGTTGGCATTGCATGACATGGGTGAATGTCAAACGCCCCCCAAGCCCACCAGGCTTGGAGCTTCAACAAGAGAAGGGTCAAGACAAAGGTCTTGATTTTATTATAAAAAGTTTAATTCTTACCAGTGAGGGGAGCAATCACAGAATGGCCTTTTGTTGTGAGGAACACAGATCTTGTATAGGAATCAGATTTGGGGTAACCAAGGAATCACCAAGGAATCACTATGAATATTTTACTAACAGAAAGTAACTACAGATGCAGCAGGTTGCTGTATTACCTCACCAACTCTGGTGCCCAAAGACCGAACCGAAAGTAAGTTTCTAAGAGACCTGATTTATCATACAGGTACAGCCTGTCAGCTCAAACCGCTGAAGCGGAGAGCTCAGAAGCTCTTAAAGTGGCACTCTTCTAATTTCCAATGCTTATGTCAAGCATGGCTCCCGACAGGTGAACTTACATACATGCAGGCAAAACAGTCATACACATAATAAATAATAATTAAATCAGCCAGGTGTGGTGTTGCATGCCTTTAATCCCAGCACTCAGGAGGCAGAAGCAGGTGGATCTTTGTGAGTTCGAGGCCAGCCTGGTCTACATAGTGAGTTCCAGGACATCTGGGGCTACAAGGAGACTCTGTCTCGAAACAAAATCCAAACCAAAACAGAAAACAGAAATAAGTAAGTACTTAAAAGAAAATTTTAAATTCACGAATACAGAAGATAAACACCAGCCCTCAGTCAGGGGCTCTACAGAGACAAGTATGTTTGAAATTGGAAAGGAGTGAAACATGTCTCTACAGAAAGCACCTAGCCTGAGCACCACCACATCGTGGTACAACCTTCCTAAGTCCCTCTATAAACACTGTCCACTTCCTTGCACAGGACATGTGTGAAAGCAATTTTGAATTTCGTGAAGTCTCTTTCTTCTATCCGTGCCGCCTGGAAGTTCTGGTCCTTTGTGACTTCTCTATCAACATTGAGAAAGGGAAGACAGTGGAGTTTGTTGGGAGCAGTGGCTGTGGGAAAAGTACGTGTGTCCGACTACTGCAAAGATTCTATGACCCTGTGAAAGGACATGTGGTAAGACTGGGACAAAATTTACATCAGCTCCCCAGCTGAGGTTAGTGAGGGTTAGTGGCTCTCTGAGCTTAGGAATTCCCTCCCCACCCCCAGGTTTATGCAAATGTGCAGAATTAAAAACAAAAAAAAACACCTCTATCCCTACCCTAAGAAAACAGCAAACCTAAAGCAACAAGGATGGGCAAGACTTTGAAATTCAGCACAATTACCTGCAGAGTCTTAACAGATTTTATCTTAAAAGCCATGGAATTCTTTTAGAAGATGGGTGTGGGAGACAAGTCCTCCACACCGTATCACTGCTTCGTACCCCATTCCAGCTTACAATGGACAGTGGTCTCCACCCTCCTAGGTTCAGGCCTCAGCTGTCCTCACTGGCTTTCCCCACCCTGCCCCCAGCTGTCACCTTTTGCAAGGTTAAGGCTTTTTCTGAATCAACGGCCATTAAACTGTGTGCCCCATCTCTTCTTCCTTTGAATCCAAGGATTGCTTTCCTTACCTTGTATTCATCTTACTAGATCTTATATACCTCACAGTCTAGCTTTCTGCTACCTCCTTCCTCCCACTACTCTCCCTCCCAGCTTCCCCCACCCCCAGCTCCCTGTCTTGAATCCTCCCTCCTAGAAAAAAATCTATAGACCCCTAAAAGTCAAAGGTTGTCATGTTAATCCTCACTCCCCTACAAGTTATGGTCTTCTCTCCATTATAGATTCTCAACCAGTATTTGTAAGCCAGTTGCCTACCAATTTGCAAGCAACATAGTACCCCCTCCCTGAATCCCTCTGATGGCTTCCCACTCAGCTAAAATAAGAGTTCACATCATCAAAGGCCTTCCTGGTCTGGTCCCTGCCTCCCTCTCCAAACTTCGCTCCCCTCACTTGCCCATTCCACTCCCTCACACCGTGGCCTGAACATCCATTTCCTGGTTTCTGTGTACCTTTATTCTCGCTGTCCCTCCACCTCAAAAGTCCTTATTCCTTATGACTCACATGTCGACCCTCTCTCAGCCCTTCTTAGATGCCCTCTACACTGCTTCAGTCACTCTCTCTTCTACTTGTCCTGTCTTCATGGCGCTTTCTTCATGGCAGTTAGTGTACTTGCTGCCTGGGGCTATCTGCTAGAATGGTGACTATCAGAGGGAGAATGTGGCATTGTATTACTTCCCCAGCACCCCACCCCCAGCCTGTCACAGAGCAGGCATGCTCATCAAATTTCAGTGAAAGTTTTTTTATATGTCCATGAGAATGAACACTTGTGGCTCAGGGCGAAATGGCACAACTCTACACATGGACTTCTGTGTAGTCTCCTCTCTTGCTGGCCTTCAAAAAAGGGGCCTTGCTACATGGGAGGAGGAGGTTGGTTGTTTTCCATGTGACTTCAGGACACAGCGCCAGGCTATACTCTAGACTCTGGGCAAATCCCTGGAATCTGAAGTGTCAAGCATGTTTGGAGTTGGCCCTTCCATGAGCTGTAAGCCAGGAGCTTCTTTCTGTCCAACAGGTGATTTATGAGTCTTCCTTTGGCAACATATACTTTGAAATAGCTTGAATTCCTTACTCTCTTGTTAGGATTTGTATATGTGTGAGTACAGTGAACTGTAACATGATACGGTTGTTGGATCTTAACATACCAGTCTCCACTCTGCTCTCTGCAGCTGCTTGATGGTATAGGTGCCAAAGAACTGAATGTGCAGTGGCTCCGTTCCCAGACAGCCATCGTTTCTCAAGAGCTGGGGCTCTTCAACCGCAGTATCGCTGAGAACATCGCCTATGGTGATAACAGCCGCAAGGTGCCCTTACAGGAGATCAAAGAAGTCGCAGAGGCAGCCAACATCCATTCTTTCATTGAAGGTCTCCCCAAGGTAAGAGAACAGCTGAAATCTTGAATTACAAAGCTACCAAGAAAGCCAAAGGGCCTGAGTGTTGTTTTGATGGATCCGCACATCAACTTAGATGTAAAAAGCAATATTTGAGATTTTTTTAATCTTTTTCCAAAAATGATATGCATTGCATTCATAGGTTATACACCTAACTTTCATACTTCCATACCCACCTCCATGTGCCAGCACTCTGCCTTGGGGGAGGTTGTGAACTTAGAAGCATGCCGCCATTCTAACCAATCATATGGGGCAGGGGACTTAGAAGTGAACCTTGTGATTTGCTGCATTCTCTTCAGGTAGAATAGATTTTCTAGAGTCGATTTCACCATCCCTGCCATGGCATCAATGTGAAAAAGAGCATGAAATGGAAAGAAAAAGCCAGCTTACAAACTCTCACTAAGCCAAAACTACAGGTCCACAGTAAAGCAGGCACAGGAAGAAGGCTGCATAGTAGTGAGCTTAATCTCCTCCAGGAATTACTTAGCAAATGGAAATCGTTGACACACTTCTGATTCATGAGGACTTTATTCCACACTTTATGGATTCACCCATCTGCCATGTCCTGATCACTCAAAATCTGTACTTCCTGTCTTCACTCCCACCTCAACATCATGGATTTATTCTCTCAACACACAGCTACTGAGGTCTTGTTCTTTGTACACCCCTGAGCTATTATTTAGAGATGATGACCAAGACAAATAAAATAAAGTCCTACATGTACATGGATCATTATAACACAGAAAGAGTGTAAAAAAAAAAAAACCCTGCCTGAGCTGGGTATCTGGCTATGGGTTCAGAGGAAGCCTTGTGAGAATTCTGAGGTTTCCTAACTATTGATCAAGTGGAACTGATCAAAAATAAAAGGGGGCATTCTCTATTATGAACCAATGGATATGTTCTATGCAAATGCATGGATGCAGAAACTATTAATGTGTTCATCAAATTACGGGTGCCAGATATGTATGGGGACGCACACCTATAATCCTAGCACTCAAGAGAGTGAAGCCAAAGGGTGCAAGTTTGAAACCAGCCTCAGCTATAGAGCAAAACAAGGTGTCAAAATTGTTTAAAATAAAAATGAATGCAGGATGCTGAATGGTTGGGCTAGGGAGAATAATAAACAAAGTAGAGCGTTTGATGAGCATATGAAGACGTGACCAAGCACTTGATGAGCATATGAAGATGTGACCAAGCACTTGAGCATGTGAAGACATGACTAAGCACTTAAATAGCAAGTCTCTCAGGTTGAGTCCTGAGACTGTGATAGCAACTTGTAGTTTATTTGGCTCACAATTCTAGGTTACAGCCCATCACTGAGAAGTCAAGGCAGCAGGACATCCACGGCCAAGAACAAGGAGCAGTGAATTCACGAATGCATACCAGTGCTCAGCGAGCTTTCTCCACTCTTAGAAAATCCAGGATTGCCTGCCCAGGGAATGGTGCTACCCATAGTCGATAGGTCTTCCCACCTTAGTTAATGTGATTAAGATAATCCCCCACAGACAAGCCCTCAAGTCACCATCATGTAGAGAATCCCCTCACTGAAGCTGATTCTAGATTGTGTCTTTTGGACAATTAAAATTTATCATCACAGCAAGCAAATTTTAACCTTGAGAGTTACTAAAGAGTCACAGAACATTTTTGACAGGGAAGATGTTTAGAGTTACTATTGCAGCAATGTAAGTGACAATATGGAAGAACAGAAAGACAGGGATCTTGGAGACCCATTTGGAGCTTTTCAGGAAAGGTTTTGAAAGTTAAAATTAGTAAGTATAAAGAGAAAAAATAAGGAAATAGATTTGCAAATGCATAAAAAATGAAAGCCAGCTGGGTTTAGCGGTGCATACCTGTCATCCCAGCACTCAGGAATTGCTAGGAACTGACTCTAAACTGTGTAGTAAGCATAGAAAGGTGTTCTGTGCCAAACAGCCTGCTGGGTGAAGCACAGTGCAGTGGTCAGAGTCCACAGCAGGGAAGAGCAGAGAAACCACACAGAGGCTGCCCCTTTGAACTGGGCTTTGAAGACTGGGCAGGAGTTCTGTAGACAGAAAAGGCTAAAACCATTCTGAGCAGAAAGAATAAACACATACAGAAATATAGACACATAAAGAGGTTTAGGCACAAGGGAGACTTTCAGATCCCAAAGCGTATGGCAAACAGTAAGGAGCTGAAGAGAGGAAAAAAAAAAAAAAAAAAAAAAAAAAAAAAACAGAACAAGAACTAAATGTGAAGGCCCTACTACATCTGAACTTTGTCTTACTAGAAGTGGAAAGTTGCTACACTTTTTAAACAAGGAAATAGCATGATGGCTTCCTGCCATCAAGATCACCTCCTGAGTTTGATTCTCCAAACCCATGTGGTAAAAAACTGACTCCCACAAGCTGCCCTCTGACCTCAACACACACAGACCATGTGCCCACACACATCCATGCACAGTAAATAAATGAATGTTCAAAAAAAAAAAGTTGGGTACTTTTTTTTGTTTTGTTTTGAGACAGGGTCTCTCACAATGTCAATCCTCTGTTCTGAGAGTCAAGTGTGCGACACTGTGCCTAGGTAGGACATTTTTAAGGAACAGAAAAACTGTGGAAAGTAACCTTTAAGAAGGATGGTAAGTCCCAAGCCAGTATGGGCTACAGAGTAAGAATTTATACTTTCGGGGCTAGAGAGATGGCTCAGCAGTTAAGAGCTCTGACTGCTCTTGCAGAGGACCTGGATTCGATTCCCAGCATTCACGTGGTGACTAACCCCCATCCATAACTCCAGTTCCAGAGGCATTTGATGCTGTCTTCCGACCTCCTCGGGCATTGCACAACACAAGCCCATTTGCATACATGTACACAATACACTCATACACATACAAATAAAAATAAAATGTTTTTTAAAAGAATTTATAGTTTTAGAAAAGGAAGGAAACAGGGTGGGGGTTAGTCATTTGTTTACTCTTCCAATAATCCAAAGGGCCTTGGTGGTCTGGTTGTGCTCACCATTAATCCCAGCACTTGGGAGATGGAGGAAAAAGGATCAGGAAATCAAGGCCAGCCTCAGATACACAGCAAGTACAAGGCCTGCCTGAGTTCTGAGAGCCAAGAGCTTCTGGTGCCAACAGAAACTTGCACTCGAGTAGCCAGCCCTTGTTCCGGATTTCAAACGCTCTTAAACTGCTTGCTGGAGGTACAGACACCTCACAGAGGAGGTAACTAACATCTGTGTTTTCTAGAATAGTCACTTCAAGAAGGATGTTTTCACTGGGCATTGATCATTCAGATATCCATAGTTTGAAATAACGCAAGCAATTGCATTTTGGATCATAGATACATTTGTCATACGGCTATGCCACAGGCTATGCATACCCATTCAGTCACACTATTCCAAGACAGTAGAAGGGAAAGGTGGTTTGTTGCACTTCTCCAATATTACAACAAAATGGCCCACACAGGAAACACACATTCCTATTCTGTGAGATGTGGGCTGCACTTGACCTTCCTGAGATCACAGAGTTGACTCATCCAAACATTCTTGTCTGGATACCAATGGCTTGTGCTCCTTGAGCAGTAGCCAAGGGCTACTAGAAAGCTGAGTTCAGGCTTGAGAGCAAACAGAGTCAAAGGGACAGCATAGAAAGTGAGCAGGAACCTGTTAATGTGACTGAATGGACCAGTGATGATTTAGGGTGAATGATGACTGTACTGATATGAATGAAACTCGCTTCACCCTTTGTGGCAATGCCAGAGAAGTGTTGGAGCAGTAGGAGCAGCACAGAGATGCTGTGAGGAGCAGAATGCCATCATGAGTACCTGGGGGCTGAGAGGTCAATGCCAACCTCTCTGATTTGCATGTGCCCAGCAAGGGCTGCATGCTGGCATCTGGAGGACACTGGTTAGCAGGAGGCAGAGGAAAGGAACATCATGATTTGTCTATTGCTTTGAAAGTCTTTGAATCATTTGGAACAGAAAACAGAAGGGTTTGGATTCACAGAAGAGTCTGCTCATTGGGAACCTTTTCTTTTCTTCATTTTTTTCTCCCTCGTGCTTTAATTTGAATTTTTCCTTTGCAGGAGCTGGGGAAGTAGTTCAGTTGATAAAGAGCTTGCCTAGCGCACAAACAGGGCATGCTGGTACATGTATATAATCCCAGCACTCAGGAGATAGAGGCAAGAGGATCAGAAGTTCAAGGCCATCCTTGGCTGCCAGCCTGAAGGCCACTTTGGGCAAAAGAGACCTTCTCAAAAAAAAGAGAAAGAAAAGAAGGGAGGGATGGAGGGAGGGAGAGAGGGAGGGAGGGAGGAAGAGAGACAGACATGAATTTTTTACAGTATGCTTTAAAAAAAATCCTCTCTGGAACAGGGGATAACGAGTCTAGAAGAGTGTGGTTAAAAGCCCTTTAGGCAGAGGTAACTAAACAATCTATAGTGCAACTTTTTCCTGGAGGCAGTTGGCAAAGGTAATAAAAACTAAAGGACTGGTCCACTGCTGAGCCCTAGTAACAGGAAGAAAACACAAGTATATAGTCCTACTAAAAGTCTCAGCCAAGATTAGGTAAAGCTCAGCCCTGATAGGATTAAAGTAATTCGCTTCCCTGAAGCCCCATTATATCGGCCAGGGTGTAGTGGAATGGGTG